AATATTTCTTAATTGTAACAATATTGCTAAACCTATACCAAGCCTAATATATGTAACTAAAATTGTCTGATTATTTGAATAGGTGTGTCGTACTTCACTCAAGATATATTATATACTTGAATTTTGGAATTTAAAGTCTAATTTAGAGTCAAATAAGGTACTGATTATAGTAGTTGCCACTTTTAAATATAACCTCTAAAAGTAATCTCTAGAAATAATCTTGGAAACTATTGAAATCAAGGATTTTTGATAATAAGAGTATTACAATTTGGGTATGAGTTATACTACTGATATGGATAATAGTGAAAATGAATCAGATTGGGAGCCAGAGGACTCAGATTCAGTTAGAAGTATTTAGTTACATGATATAAACTGTTTACTATCCAGTATATAAAAGAAAAAAATGGTGTTTAAGTATACTATCAATAGGGTGATTTTATACAGATGAGTTGGATAGATCTTTCTGAATTTTCAGCTCATATAAGAGGCTGTCTAAAATCCTGTAATTGTTCTCAATACTCTACATTAAAGGCAAGCCCAAATGAGTAGAAGCAATAACTTAATGTTTATAATAGTCTTTAATGAAAGTAGGCGAAGCTAATAATAGTATATCATCTATCACTACAATTACTCTTAAGTTAATATATGCTGTAAATAGGACATAGAAGATAAAACTAATAAGTATAGCCAAAATTGCCTGAGCATAAATAGTTTATGTACTATTTGCCATTTATTGATAATCCATATCTGGGAAAATTTTGCAGCTTTTGGAATATGAGGAGAAGAATAATATCTGCAATTTTAAACTACCTGCATACAACCGAAATACTACTCATGAAGGTACATGGTAATAGATGTAAAAGGTCACATAAGAACAGCTGCTAGACAAAAGTGTTCATAATAGTCAGATTAGTCAGGATACCTCACCAAAGAGTAGAGTAGTTGACCTTGTTGTTGTTTTTTCTTGATACAATCATACTACCCAGCCTCCATGATTTCAAATATTACCAGGCACAATTCCCTACTGCCATCATTCTTTACTGCTATACTCCAATCCTACCAATAATTCCACTACAATAGTATTTTGTGATGCGATGGTTAACTAATTGGGAAAACAAAAATATGCCATCCCCAAAAAGAAACTACTAAAGACTACATGAAAGGAAATGATTGCCACAGAAAAATGCATAATAATTTCCTTTTTCTATTTCTTGTAAAGTAAATTTCTAGTTGTTAAAATCATCGGTTGTCACTGGTCAACTGTGAAGAGTTTTTTGGCTCGCACATATCAGTACTTAATTTTCAAGAATCTTCCCTGGTCTGGTCACCTACTTGTCTTAAGTCAGCAATAGTGTACAAGAATTATTCAGGCTGCTAAAGCCAAATGGAAGTTAAACAGAAGTGATTTTAGAGATTGCTATGCACCTGGAGTCTCTCTTGCAACAGGTAAGGCTTCTGGTATGAGAGATATTTCAGGATCGCACAGCTAATATTAATTGTTTAATTGATTGAGTACTCAGAGAGGCCAATTTGAAAAAATGGATACCAAAGTCAAGGCCTAAGCTCAAGCCTGAACACTTTACTGGGAGACTCAGATGAGCTATAGCTCATAGAAATTGGACTGCTGAGGATTTTAAAGGAATCATATGGAGTGATGAATACAGTATGGAGAGGTTGAAAGATCCTAGACAAATTTGGGTATTTAGGGAGCTAGCAGAGAAATGGCTTGCTGAGTGTGTTCACCCTAAGGAGAAGAGTAAAGGAGTATCACTTATAGTATGGAGATGCTTCTAGTGTAAGAATAAAGACCCTCCTGTTTCTATTACTAGAACCATAAATGAAAACAGGTATATTAGACTACTAAGAAGGCATCTTATTCCTGTTATTCATCAAATGCTGGCTTCTGGTATTGATGATTTCCTTTTTCAACAAGACAATTCTCCTGTGCACAAGACTTATAATGCAAGGGATTGGCTGAAGGATAACATTATTAATATTATGAAACACCTCCCATATTCCCCAGATATGAATCCTATTCAGCATGTATAGATAAAGCTTAAAAAGCATCTACATCAGCAGCATCCTAGAATATCTAATATCCCTAAAGAAAAGAAGGCAGTAAAGAAGTGGATTGCTGAGGTGTTACCTTTGGTCAAGGAGACAATTACTCTAGAACCTTTTGAAAAACTGTGGAAATCTATGCCAAATAGGATGGCAGCAGTTAATGAAGCGAGAGGAGAGTCTACTAAGTATTAGGTTGTACAGTAGGAGGTCTTTTTCATTTTTTAAATATTATTCAATAGTATTATCAGGCTTCAAGAAGTGATTATCAATGATCAACTAGGCTACTTGTGGCCTCTTATGGCCACTCATGGATGTGGAATGGCAACTGCAATGGTGAAGCTACAATACTATCATTTTTAATTTACATCTATGATCTAATAATTTATACTTAGCTATCTACTGTTACCTATTGACTGTTCCTCTCCCGTGGAAGTGACAACCCCACTAATAATACCCCACCACACTGACCTATGGCGCCATTTGGCGTAATTAAACATATCTCGCATTACCAACACATTTGTCTAATGGCTGTATATTCCTTAATTAGTAACTAACAATGGAAAAATAATAGCAAGAGAGAGTACCTTTATAAAATGGTCTCTCAGTACTACCAGGTTGCTTGCCAATGCCTGCTGTTGATCTAATCTACTACTACACTTGCTTGCTTGTTCAGAGTTGCTATTCAAGAACTATTTTAACCAATGGTTTCCTAACTTTTCCTGGCTTGCACACTTTTGAACAAGGTGCTCAGCCATCTGCGTCACTTAGCGATTTTTGGATTGAAATTCCCAGTCATCCAAGCAGTTACACTACTGTACAATAGCCTTTTGTTCCCGCTTGGTAAACAATTACATAGGCTCATGGATTGTCTTGTGATCCTGGACTCCATTGAGTTGGTCCTATAAAGTAGAATATAGTACAGTATACTTCTCACTAATCTCCCTCATCGAGGTATTTCCACTCTTGAGGTAGGCCAGTATTGCAAGCTGGATGTTATTTTTGTACTATGATTGTTGTACTACATTTTGTTGAGGCATGGTGCGTAGTTTGGGTATTCTTACTCGCTGGCTTAATGCTGTGTGATCCTCCAAGTGAGGACGGAGTAGTCATCTTGGCACTGATTCGTTTCACAATCATGGTCAGTTACACCATAAATTACCTAATTTAATTAATATTTTATATTTATCTTTCATTTGAGGTGTTCTATACAAAATTCTACATCTCTAAGCATACTTGATATTGTATAGGAAGTTGATGTTGGCGAGTGGTTGGCAGGCGAACACAGTTGTCAAGCATGGCAATAATCACTCCTGTGGCCGTCCCATATGATATATAGACTACTGTAGTACTGGCCCATACTCGGCATGCACGACGGAGACACTCTAGCTACAGAATAGGTATTGGAGCTACATATCAGGTCACAGACACAGGAGGGTAAAAATAGAGGGAAATATAATAATTGAACAACATGGGTACGTGTAGGTAATTGTAGGACATAATTTCATTTCCTCCCTCCTCGGGTCTTGAGGGCATTTTGCTAGTATTATATGTAGACAAAATTAACCGCAATTCAATAGAAGAGAGTCTTCAGTGATGACAACCACACTCACCAACCAATCCACTATCACGAAAACCAAAAAAAAAAATTAAAAGATATCAATACATAGTAGAAATTAATATTTGGTATACCATCCATCAGCCTTAATAATTGTCTCTATTCTATCCACTATTAATCTAGCTAAAGTATCAAAAATCTTTAGGTTGTGAAGTTTCCAACAATGAGTGATGGCCTCTACTATTGCCTTCTTGACTATGTTGACATCATCCTTCATAAAATATAGCTCAGGGTGGTGCTTGTGAAGTTTACCTTTCACCAGAGACCAAATATTTTCAATTGGATTGAGATTTGGTTAATAAGTAGGAATTTCCATCTGTGTAATTCACTGCCCTCTGAGCCATCTCCTAAAAGGCAAGTGAGTCTTAGCATTATCAATGATAAAAAATATCTCTTCCTCTCTAGCCTTTTCTCTGATATTCTCCCATATCCCTAGAAAGTCAGAATAATTATAATCATCAATACTTGACTTCCCAGTAACTCCACTCCTAGCAGAAGAAGGATCAGGAAAAACAGGTAAAAAAAGACTATGAGTTTGTCTATAAGAGCAACCAGTTATTATCTGGCCAATCCCTCTCTCCCCTCTCCTAGCCTTATGTTCAACATAATTCTTATTCCATTTCTCATATGGGTATCTCAAAACCCAATATCTCCTCTTTTCTTCTTCTCTTTCCACAGCTACCTCATTTCCCCATATTGCCTTTCTTCTACACATCTCCTTTGTCCAATTCCTCTGAGGTAATACCTGTTCTAACCTATTTAGAGCTAGATGCTCATTCAAATAAACTGTCTCTTGTGCCATCTACTTTCTAAGATGTTTTTTTTTCAAGTGTTCTCCTTACTGTTCTACTAGAAATCTTGGGAGCAACTTGCTCAACAATGTCAGAATAGGTAGTATGGCGATTTTTAAGAGCTTCCTCCACCATAGTATCATCTTGTGACTTGGTAGTTTTAGGATGTCTTCCTCTACCCTTATTCTCCTTGCCCTCTTGATGTCCCTTTGCAATTGTGTCTCTGACAGTAGGGTAGGGGATATTAAGATAGTCGGAAATTTGCTGATATCTCATCTTAGTCTGGTATAACCCGTGAATCCTCCTACTGGTAAACTTAGAGAGATGTGTAGAGGGAATAGGTTTTTTGGCATGACAGCAAAGAAGAGGAGGTGTAGTTTATTGAAAATAGCAAACTGAACAGAATGGTTTCTTCTTAGTTGACTTAGAGCAATCTTTTTAGGTACTGTTGAGAGTGAGGGGTGATGAAGAGGGGTGGGTTGCCACCGATTGTTGAATCACAGTTAATTTTGTCAACGCACAATATATAGTACTCAAGCGGTATGAAAGCCGAGCTATCAATGATTCTGCCAACCGAAGAGTGTACTGTACTTTTGGGGACTATTTACACCATAAGCCACAATCCCATGCCAGCTCTCAGGAGACCGATCCTCGTCCGTGCCCTTTCGGTCTCTCCCAACCGCCACCACTCCCAACCTATCTAAAGACACATGATGGCTCATGGGGGTGGAAGAAAAAAACCGACATGAATGTCGAAAACAAGAAAATGAAATTCACATGACGCCCAAACCCATTTCATAGGGAAAAGAAAAGGAAAACTACGCACTGTCGGCCCAATGATTTGTAAGCCCCAGTCACCGAGGCGCTACGTGGCCGAATATCTATTTTCGCAACCTGAATCCAAGATAACAATAACCCCGCCCCATTGATTCCATCCCGGGATGCAAAACAAGGAAATATTAAAGTCAAGAAGGTAGTCAAAATCTGGCGACATTAGCCTATGATGCCGGAGCAGCAGCAATTGGTTCGGCAATTCGAGTGACTTGGTTGCCAGCTCGGACGATGCGCTGGTTGTTGCTGTCGAGAGCAGCATCAACATCCTTGTTCTCCTTTGAGGCTTGCTTCCAGATCTCGACCTCACATCCGCCACGAATGACAGCCACGCGGAAGTTGGAGAGGAGGTTGTGGGCAGCGTTGGAGTGGTTATAGACACCACCGTTGAATATAGCAGTAGCGTCCTTCCCAATTCCGGAGTTGATCATTGCCTTTCCACCAGGGTGGTCGTTGATGAATGAAGAAATATCGTGAACAACACCGGCAACAAGCACAAGAGCGCGTCCATTCCGGGCTTGCTCCTGGTAATCCTCAAATTCCATGACAGGAAGCTGCTCAAGAGGAACACCCCAGTCCAAAGTGGCGCGCTTACGGTCGAGTTTCTTCTGTTGCTGTTGAAGACGGCCTTTCTCGATCTCGTTTTGACGGAACTGCTTGAGGTCATAGGCGAGACCCAGCTGTTTCCAGATCCAGATGGTCCACTTGGTGGGATCATCTGTAAGATTATTAGGGGATTGTTGAGAAATGTGAGAGCCAAAAGGGAATTGAAAAGAAAAAAGAAAAAACTTACATTGATGCCATTCGATAGCATTACGATAGTCGCTAGGGAACTCATGATGGAAGTTGTGGTATCCTTCGCCAAGAGTGACCAAGGCGGTGATAACGTGATCACGAGGAGAGTTACGATCGTCAAAGGGTTGGTCTCCGAGCCAATGAGCAAGAGAGTTGACGCAGAAGGTTGCCTGTTGCACGAAAAAAATCCTGAGGATGCCGGCGTAGACGAATCCACCAACCCAATCACCCCAACCCAATCCGGAAACGAAGGACGGGAAGACGAGACCCATGAAGATGACAACCGCAAGGTAGTTCTTGTGTTGCCAGACAACAACGGGGTCCTCATTCAAGTCAGAAATGTCGGTACGTCCAATACGCTTAGGGTTCTGCTTAAGAATCATCCATCCCACATGTGAGTACAACAATCCCTTGCGGACACTATAGGGATCCTTGTCGGTATCGGTATAACGGTGATGAGCTCGGTGATCACGAGACCACCAACGAATAGAACCCTCAACAGCACCGCCACCAAGAGCTGCAAGGAAGATCTTCAACGGAAGGCGTGCTGAATATGAGGTGTGAGCCCAAAGACGATGGTACCCGGCGGTGATGCCGAGACCGGTCCAGAAGTAATAGAGGACGGCCCAGCAAAGGGTAAGTGTTCGAAGGGGGGTGTAGAAAGCTGCCCAAACACCAAGTAGAGGAACCAAGACGATGAGGGTAATGTTGAGTTTGTTGATATGTTGCCACAGGTTTCCAAAAGTAATTGGCTATTCCAGACTGTCAGTACTTTTTAAGTATTGGCAAGCTTTAGAGGGGTTGCAGTTAGTTAGGAGCAAACTTACCGTTTCACTGATGTGAGGACCGACTAATCTTGTCTTTCGGAGCTTTGCAGCAGCCCCGGCAGGCCCAGCAGGAGAAGAAGCAGCAGGAACCATGATAGCGGAGATGATGGTTCAGCTGTTGCAGCAGAAGGAAATGAGTGAAGGGAGGAGTTTTTAAAGTTCTCGCAACGATTGCGAAGAAAACGAGGTAAGATAACGACAGCCAAGTGATGGGCGGTTGACGTCCAAGTGAAGGCAGAATAAATCTGTTCCGGTTGAGGAGGAGCGAGAAGCAAAGGGCATCTTAAATGACGGAGGGATACGGATATCGGTCGGGTGGTTTTTTTTCTTCTCCCTTCGCGCACACAGTTATTCCCTTTTCTGATGAGGGCTGGCAACACAAGTCGAATATTCCCTCTTCCTTCCTCCCATTTGGCGAAGAAAACAGGACTTTGGGGAACTTACTCCCATCCCCAACGTTCTGTTGTGAGGTGGTAGAGGTTGCGATGGTTTGCCCCAGCCAGCGGATCTAGGTCAGAAAACTTCCAATTATAGTAAGATAAAGCTCGCTTGGGCTAGTGCCCGTCCCAACATAACATTTTTTGCATGCTCAACAAAACAACATCCCAGCCTTCCCCTGGTTCCAAGAGACAGCAGCGCATGTAAAATGAACCGCAGCCACGGATTTTCCATTCGGTTCTTGGTTATGGGGCCCGGTGTTCTTGTGGCAAAGACCAACGGACCCCACTGCTAGCGAGAAAACAATATCTCCTCTGTTGTGGATACGAGCACGAGGAAGAGAGTACGGTACCCGGCAGTATGATGCGCGCTCACACCAACAATACCGGTACTGGAGTACTGTACTCATACCGCATATTGATAACCTTATGGGCCTAGGGTGGACGTGGCCCTTCCCTCTTTCTAATCTTTAGATTCAAAAATCCGCTGCTTAACTCCGTCAGCGCACAAATCTCGTGGCTCAGAGGAAAAAAGTTCTGGAGAAGAATTACCATCAAAAATTGTACGAGTGGTTGCACAGGAACCGTTAAATGGACTATCTCGGAAGCGCAGGGGGTTGAGCTACGGGCAAGTCACAATGGGTTTAGTTGCGTTTCCGGAATTTCGAATACTCGTACCATATAATTTAATAAGATCAATCACACAAGTCACAATTACACTTGGCACACTCAGACCTTACCGTTTGGGGATAACATTGATACTTGTTACAAGTAAGTACAGTACCTTACAAGAGAGCACTTTTCTTCCAGGGCCCAGCGGCCATGGCTGAGACAGGCAACGCGTTATATGTCACGCGTCTGACGCTCGGATAGATTGATTATGTAATACGCGCTTCAGTGGATATTCGCGTTTCCCAACCCTCACCAATTAGGACAGAATCTGCTTCTGGTTCCACTGATACTAATACTCGAGTATAATAATGTATTGTTAAATTTTCTGAGATAAGCCTTTTCTTCCAAGATTTTACTGTCTGTCCTTCTCTCATTGCGTCTGTCAACCTTCCGTCAATCCCTGAGCACAAGGACTTTCCATCGTGAATACTCCCCGGCTCACCCAGAACTGTCCTTCCAACCCCCCAATCGGTCTTTGCCTCAACCAGCACGCAGAGGTCCCCTCGCGGTGACTTCCCAATTCTACCTACCTCCACCCATCGTCGCACCACCACCACCACCCTGACCACCAACATTTACCCCGTCTTGATTCCTCACCATTTCCCCCACCTCCCTTGCTCCCCTCACAATCATCATCTAGAACACTATCTTCTTTCCACAGCCATCATGCCACCGGCCCGTCCTCGCCCCAACCTCCATGATGACTCCCGTTCCGAAACCTCAGTCGGCAAACCCGACCGCGAGAAGTCCATCGACAAACGTCGGCAACAGAACCCTCCCCCAAGCTCACAAGAAAAGTCCCTGAATAGCGGCGCCGGCTTGAGTGGGGTTGGAGGTGGAGCCAGCACGAATGCTAACGGTACCCATGCCCATGAGGGTATCGAAGGAGTGAGTTCCTCTTCTCCCCGCCCCTGTTACTTCTCTGGCACTATCTCCCCCCATTTCCCAGCGTTACCAAGATACTAAAGAACAAATGAGGGAAACGTGGTAGATGGGCTGGTCAGACATCGACATACGAACACTCCATCGATACCGTTACGCCTACAGGCTTTCAGTACCGAGTTCTAGTGGAGGCTTTAATAACACTGTGCTATCCACGGGTGTCGGACGGAGGTCGCCGGCGAGAGCGAGGGTTCGGATCGGAAGGGAGGCGCTGGCCACGGCGGTACGGAAGAACTTCAATGCACAGCCGATCCAGGAGAACGACGTTATCGTGAACTTTTTGTATTCGGTCAAGAATCAGGGTATGTCTTTACCTCATATCATCTACACCCCCTTGTCTATTTCTTCCGCTTCGGCGTAATTGACGGCTAGACGATTCCGAAATCACAGACAAACGATTTCGGTTGAGGTTTCCACCACCAATAAGTAAGAAGCACGAGACCTAATCCGATACCATTCCAGAGCTAGGGACACTCTTATCCGGTTGGGTTTGGTTGATGGATCGCGCGCCAATATTTGGCTCAGTAAGCTTTGTTCTACTACTTCTACTGCCACTATGGGTTGCTTCTCCTCTTTCGACTCAAGTGGGTTATCTAGTGAACATACCTGGGATGTATATAGCTGCGTACCCCTTCCCACCCATTTACCCTCTCCTACTCCTTCACTTTGTAGGTATCTCCAGTCTTGGATTGTTTTGGCGCATGATTATCTTTGCTGAGTAAATGCCAACTAGTTTGAATTTCAAGAAAGGCAATTGCCGTTGATTTCTGTTCCGGCATTGGCGGGGTGTAGGTTAAGATAGAGGAAGTATGACCAGTCGAGTGAATCGCGCTGGAGGTGAGAAACAAGGGACCGAAAAGGGGTTCCTTTACCACATTAACACTCCTAATCGCAGTCCAATTGGTGAGCGATCACTGTAAAATAATGTCAAGGCCCCTCCATCTATCCATCAGCGGTTGAGAATTTGTAATCCAAGTTACTGAAGGCTCATTGTCATCACAATCCACCACTCGTATTGTGAACTTCCTGCTTTTCCAAAGTGGACAGAGAATTTAAGGAAGATTTTTAATGAAGAGCTTTAGATATAAGAGGCAGAATAGGATGAAGATGAGGGTAAATATGAGTTTTCTCTCCCGCCTCCGCCTATTACAGAAGGGGAGAGAGAAGGTATTGTTCGTCAACAAAAATAACCGACCGGCGAAGGTGCGTGGCAACCATTGCCCATTACTCCCACTCATTTTCAACTCCACCTAAAGAAATTGCATCAACTCAACCAAAACCCAATCACGTTACCTGATTGTTTTTCCTGCAAAATACTATGCCTCCTATTCTTCACAGTTATCCAAAAAAGCCTATTCCAACCCATCACCTCTCTAAGTTTACAGGAGGGGGAATCCTTGGGTTACATGAGCCTCAGATAGGATACCAGTAGATTTCTGACTAGATCAACATCCTCCTCACAACTGTCAAAGACACAATCTCAAAGAAAGACTAAGAGGGCAAGGAGAGAAAGGATAGAGGAAGATATCATAGGACTACCAAGTTACAGGAAGATGCTATGGTAGAGGTGTTTGCAACTGTGTCTTAAAAGGGGTGATTATATATCTATCTTAAGTAAACTAGGTGATATTAAGTAGATATCGCAGGCACATTGTCTGAGGAATAGTCTGGTTTGAATGTTGATTAATAGAGGCTTTATTCTTTATTTCTTTTAAGCAAAGTGTGTGAGTGGTAGTCCCTATATATACAGAAGTGTGCTGACTCGTAATAAAAGAAATATGATTAGGAAAAATATAAGTAAGAATATATTTCTTGCTAGAGAAACATATGTGTGAACATGTTTAACTGTAAAAAGCTGCCAAGAAAAATCCAAATTGTTTACATAAATCTAAGATAGCTTGAGGGAAATATTACAAATCTAGTATGTAAGCAATGTGCATAAATGTGGATAAGAGATTCAACACTTCCTCTGATTATGTATAGTCCAAGTATTTTGTAATGTGTTTGTATGCTGGCTTTACAAGTATTTTGATTGAGATATTAGCAAGGTTTGCTGAGGAGGTGACCTTCAACTATGTGAATGAACCACGATCAAATTCTTCTCTTATTTTGTGAGAATGGATATTAATATGTTTAGTTTCATGGATGAGTTGATAGTTAGATGCTAGGAAATTCACGCCAGTATTGTTTGCATGCATTCTGAGTAGCGGATTTAGATGCATGTTATGGAGACTCTTTTGGAACCATTGGATTTGTCTTGTTGCTAAGTACATTGTAATGTATTTTGCTTCAGTGGTTGACGTTGTAACCAAGGGTTGTATCTTCGATTTCCAAGAGATACATGCCTCATTATATAAAACAATGTATCCACTAAAGGATCAGTGGGTTTCCAAACAGGCAGCATAGTCAGTGTCAACATAAAAGTCAATAGTATTAGTTGTGGTTTGAGGGTAGAACAATCCAAGGTGTTACGTTCTATTGATGTATCTTAAGATGTATTTTTGTAGCTTAAAGAAGTTGTTTGGAAGAGTATGAGGAATATTTTAAATGAAAAGAAATGGTATATGCCAGGTTGGGTCTTGGGCTGGTTGTCAAATATATAGGTTATCCTATGATAGGTTAGTATAGGTAAGTGTTAGTTATCTGACTTTCCTCATTATCTTTGTTAGGTTAATTACCTATTGGTAAAGATGTAAATACAGAACGTGAGTCCTCCATACTATACTTCTTAAGAACTGACTTGATGTATTGTTTTTAGGTAAGATAGATCCTGTGTGGTATTGAGGTAATATGGAGATTGAGTAGGAAGTTAGCTTCTAGATCAGTAATCTGGAAGGCCATTATCAGGTCTTTTATTTGAGATGCCACTTCGGGTGTCATGGTCAAGTGTATTGCAATGTCCTCAATGTAAACCAAAATGTAAATATTATGTTATCCATAAACTAATATGCATTGGTCTAATGTGGATGTTGTAAAGCCTTTCGAGGTTAAGAAATTTGTGAAGAGAGCATACTATTTGTTCTCTGTATACTTAAGTTCTTAGAGAAATTATTTAAGTTTCTATGCTTTTTCTCGGTCACTATATCCTGGTAATGGATGCATGTAAACTTCTTCTTTTAGCTTACCATATAGGAAAGCTGATTTATTAACAAATTGTTGGGGTAGCCATTTGCTTTTGACTTTAATTGGGAGGAGGAAGCAGAGGAATTCAAAATATATAACGGAAGCCAAAGTGTCTTCGACGTTGAATCTGGGAATATGTGAGAATCCTTTGGTAATGGCTCTTACTTGATATCTTTCCAGAGTGCTATAAGTATTCTTCTTGATCCTGTAAACCCACTTACAATCAATCAATTATCTTTCTATTGGTTGGTCGACAACCTCAAAGGTGTTATTCTATTTCAGAGACTTGATATCTTCATCTACAGCTGTAACTCATTGATCTCTAAAGGATTTTTCTATGACTTGGTTATAGGTGGATAGATGTTTGTTTGACATTTCTGTGGTGTGAATGTCGCAACAGATAGGTAGGAAAAAGACTCTTCCATATCGTGCTTGTATTGCAGGTGGCTTCACCAGTATCGGTAGTTGTGCAGGTTATTTAACTTCGGGTGGCTGAGGCTCCAGTATTGGAGAGAGTGTTGGAAATTGATCATTAGTTTCTGGTTCTTCTGACAGTTGAGTAGTGTGTACTTCAATTGTTGTTTGTTTTGGGGCTCTTCTGGTTTCAATTCCTTAGACTTATCTAGTAGGTATAAGGCAAAAGAAAGGGATACTAGATGAACAATTGCAAATTAGGTTTCTAGAGGTGAGGGGTTCCTTGATTGAAGCAGTATAAACGTCTTAGTTGTCCAATAGATCTGTTGTATCTCTGACATCTTATATTATACTGGAAGATAAACCCTATTTATTTTGTTGGAACTGGTAGATTCAACAAAATCGCCTTAAATTGCCTGAGGAGTAACTTTGTTTCTAGTGGTCATGTCTCCACAAGTATATGGGTACAGCATTCGATTCCATATAGTTTTGGATGTTTTATCAATAGCTATTTTTTGGAGAAAGATTTATAGGAAATTGAATTACTAATAAATTGGTTAGGGAGTTAGTTCTGAAGATAGACTGTAGTGGTGACTGCTTCTGTCCAGAGTTGTAGTAGTAGGCCTTGGAGAACTGATAGGGTTGCTGTAATAATGGTACGGTTAAATCATTTGGCAACTCTATTAGCTTCATTTGACCAGGATGGGGATTTGTTATGGACAATTCCATACTTATTGAAAAGGTGTCATAAATGTGACAGGTTTTACACGTCATCTAATATTAAGTCATAGGTTTCGTACATATAACTTGTTTGAATCCTATTATTTATTCATGTTGTAATTTGTTGTGTTTTGCATATGACTCTATTATAAGTCATGGGCTTCACATATATGACTTGTTATTTTTTAAATATCATATGATTATGAGTCATAGGTCTTGCGCAGGTGTTCTCACTTGAGTTATATGACTTGTTTACAAGGATTTCACAAGACTCATATTTCTAAGTCATCTGGTTAGGATTGGAGTAAGTAGCTCTATATAAAGAGTCTGCTAAGACCAAAGGGAAGAGGCTTTTCACACTATATTCTAAGCAATACCCATAGCCTTACTTTCACCCCACCTTGGAATGTCAAGGTTTGACCATGACCAATCAAACCTGTTGATTTCTATCCCATGATAGGCTTCAAGTCTTTCTCCTAGAGCATTTTTCTAGGACAATGTTATAATCCCTCCTCCTACGTTTTCTAGAGGTTCTTGCTTCCTTTTACCTGTCTTTATGTTTATTCATCTAAGTCACCTCCTCATAAATGTAATAGCTGAATGAGCTTCTACCTCCTCCACCATGTCTGTGTTTTATCTATTGGTAGTGTTGTCTTGTGCCATTGAGAATAGCTTTGGCCTAGAGGCTGAAGTCTGTGGTCTTTAACACCATATCTGTCTCATTTCTCAGCGATTTCATCATGCAGAGAAGGAAGGATCTACTCTGTTGGCTGTTCTTAGTTTTCTATATGAACTTAATCATGGTTTGATGGCTAAGGTAGCAGCTGCCAATGCTAATACAGATATCCCTTCCTCTTCTTTCTTCTTGGTCGCTTTAGTGACTATAGTGGTCTTGGTTGTAGGGGGTGGCCTAGATCTTGAGAATTCTCAGAGTCCTGTGCAGGAGTGCTCTTGAAAGAATGGTGTGCCAGAGGTTATCCCGCCATTGCCTGCAGCTGTAGTTGCAGGTATTGGTACGCATAGTCTGGTTCCTGATTTACCAGGGCTGGAGGAGGCGCATGCTTCTAGTATGGGTAGAGTAGATCCCCTTATAGTGGTGCTGGCTGCAGTAGTATCATCCTCTTTAGTGGGGCAGGTGCCTGAGCTCTCTGTAGCAGAGCACATGTGTGGTTGCGGTAATCCCTCTAATGGCGTCCCCCCAGTGACTGTGGGTATTAACAAGGATGGCCCATCCACTCCTATTTCTAGACCTGTGGCAAGGGGTCAGAAGAGGAAGAAACACAAGAAACACTGTGTTAAACGCACTCAATCTTCTCCCATGTTCCTTGCCCCAGACTCTGCAGAGATGTTGTCTTTGCTTGTTTGATTGTGGACAGTGGCTACTACGGGGCACACAGTCTGTCCGATATCGGAGGATATAGGGAAGGAGGTTGCAGAGAACCTCG